CTATTATCTAAGTCAGCTAATACCCTATCTGATACCAAATTTCATCAAAATCCGTTCAGTAGTTTCGGCGTGATTGACGGACAAACATCCAAACTCAGAAACTTTTACATTTATAATATTAATAGGATATCAGCCCGACGCCGCCAACGAAATCAATATTCATCACATGCACACACACATGCACGCACGCACGCATGAAAAAAACCTACCCTGCTCGATCGATGATGATATTTTGTAACTTATGATGATAATCTTCACAATTTATAATTATTAATAACAATGCGATATACCTCCATGGGCATGGGTTCGTACTCGTCATCTGATGGCGAGGAGGGCGCCACCAGCGGGGCCCACTCCCACCGTACGCCACGTCCGCCCGGCGACTGCACGTCATACACGGAGCGACGCACCAGACATTCCACAGACGTGCCATCTGAGTTAGACAATATTACATGATTTAGTTGGAACAACTAATCATCTATTTTTTTCATATGCTATGTCCCTCGAACTAAAAGTCGTCTTCCAATATCCGCAATATCTTTGAACAACCCATGTTTTGAAAAGACAACTTGAAGATTTTCTCTCTTTGTTGAAATTGATATCCAAAACGTTAGGTACTTAACAAAAGTTTTGTCAAATTCAGTGATAATATGCAAATTTTGAAGAAACTGTCCAAATTCTAAGACTCCATTGAAATAAATGACAATTAGTCTTTTATTTTCATTTATATTTGGTTTTTAACTGTAGTAGAGTTGAAAATTTATTGACAAATAATTGATATTTTAATATAAGACTACCATATTAGTTTAAGTTCTGTCTAAGGAAGATAATGTCTCAAATATTGTTCTAAGATAAAGATTCTAACTTATTATACGTACACGCAAGATATCTTTCAACCACCTCCAATTATTTCTTGAATACATTTTTCCAATAAAGCTAGCTTTTTAACTGATTTCTCACCAAGCGCATAGATGTACAATCAAAACAATGCATGTTACAGCGTCGTGTTAATTAATGCAATGTTAGTCAGCTATACATTACAAAACCATACCTGGTGAATCCACACACTGCGTAAGAGTTCTCAAGTTAACATAATGTCCTTTGAGGGCAGGGTCAGCATCAGCTAGCACAACTCTGGTGAGTTTCTTGACATGGGCTCGTTCTAGGGTGCGAGTCACACCCGGTGTGTGAGGAAGCCACTGCCCTTGGCTCTGCCACTCCCACACTACTATGTAATGAGTGGATGACATATCTATTGATCTGGCATGTCCTGAAACAAAACCATTTTTGATGTATCTTGCCGTCTATTACTTTTCATATATGAGCTATAATAGTATTGTAAAACATTTACTATGTTTGTAATGATAGATGACTTGATTATTTTGACATTGAACATTCTTAAATCACACCAGCCGGATGATGAGTGCGCTAGACATTCCGTGCAGAAGCTGGGACATCCTTGCTACTTTTAGCGTACACTTTATTGTTTTGTTGGTTGCACTTTTTTTACACAGTAAAAACTTATTAAATTAAATTGTGATTATTATTAAGAACAATTTAAAATTAAAAACATTATAAAATTTAGTTATTCATTACATTAAAATTAAATTAAATTCCATTGGTTAAAATTCATTCAAAATAAATATTCTTAATGAAAGATACCTAAAAGAATAATTAAAAATAATAAGTCAAATTAAATTAAAATTTAAAACTAAAACTAAAACTCATCACTTTTGTCTTCAAAAAATTCTTTATGTTATAGTAACATGTATTACTAAGGTGTGATTTAAATTTTTTATTAAATTTTGTAGGGTTTTCAAATTTTTTTTAGAGGTTTGGTATGACTATATATTTTAATTAACATTGAATTAATTTTGCTTGAATATGTTTTAAATGTATTTGTAAATTGCCAATGTACTAGAGTGGTTTTTTATTTCATCCCAATTTTTTTCTTATAACTCGTTCAGAATGTTTTTTGGCTGACAAGAAAAACATTTAATTCAATCATATCATTATTAAAATAATCTAGTTGAACCAAACAAAAAATACCAAAAGTCAAAAAAGTCAAAATAATCTTTATTCAAATAGACTTCTTAAAAATACTTTTAAATCGCCCAACATTTTTTTTCCCTACCATTCATTCAGGACTTCTTTTGGCTGATAAGAAGAACGAGCAAGAAACTCACCAGCTCTAATAAGAGTAATGACATTAACAAAAACCATGTCATTACCAGATCAATACATTATAAACAGAGAGAGAGAAAAAAAAAAACTATGGTCTTATAAGAATAACATAATCATTTAATAATAATGGAAACAAGAAAATGAATTTTGGAAGTAATCACCTATCCAGTTGCTGGATCATCTCAAGTTCAAGCGTTCTTACCTTTTATATAATCGGATACCTTATAATAAGCTTTTTTAATAAGTATTTTTTATAGTAGATTTAAACTGCATGATATCTAATTGTTGTATTTTGCTTGGGACTTTATTGTAGAAACGCACACAAAGACCCTTGAATGAGTTATTAACTTTTTGCAGTCTAGTGACAGGCACCATAAATTACTTTGTAACTACTGGTAGGGGAAAAAATATTTTTGGACGATTCAAAAGTGCTTGTAACAAGTTTACTTGAATAAAACATTTTCATTTCATTTCATTTCACTTTTTAGGACACTACCTACTATTTCTTGACACATTCTGTCGGATTTTTGGATCCTCATAACTTATGTTTGGATTGCACTAGATACATCAAATTTTCAGGGTGCAATCACAGTAACGAACTTATTAAAGATACAAAGTTTCAATTGCATAGGTATTATACTTTTGATTTTATTGACATAAAAAAACCCCGATTTGGTATTTATACATGCACTCACTGATGATCATCATAACCTTACTTAGATATGGGTACTTCCTGATGTCATAGAAAGCTGTAATTTGGCATGCAAGATGGTATTAGTTTTCAGATAACAGGAAAAAATTTTTTCATCCCCAATCTATTTACTCCAGAGGACCTTTGTATGAGACTGCAGCAAATTATGATGCTAGAAGATTGCAAATTGATATAGGAATTGCTTTTTATTAATTATAAATAACATGATTTTTAGCAAACTAACCCAATTCTTTAAATAAGAGGATGGAAATTTGTTTACATATTCAAACAGAAACTTCATTCAATGTTAGTATGATCATAAACACATAGGTATAGGTAATTTTTTATTACTAAAGTAGTAGTAATAAAAAATACCGTGTTTAAAAAAATGTTTATAATCCATAATAGTGGTTTCATTGAGAAGGTTAATTCTATCACATATCTTGTTTTTGGGAACACTTTGCTCTAAATCTAGGCATCTGATTTTTATCTTCAAGCCTTTTTTGTTTCCAATGATAGAACTGTATCAGTTTTAAGAGATACTTACAATAAGGCAGGTGACAAGAAAAAAGGGTGAAAGAAACTTATCAGAGTTTGTGATCCAATTATTGTAAAAAACATTATACTAACCTATAATCTGCAAATTAAAAAAGTTCAGAGGAAGCGCACAGTGTGCATTCATTATCTTTCACAATAACACACACTCACCCATACTCGCAGACACATATATCAAAATACTCAAATATTATTATATTAACTAGCCTATTTCTGTGACTCCATCCACTTAAGTTTGTGAAAGAATTTTAAAACTCGGTCCAATGTTATTTGAGCCTTTTCAAAGTAAACAAACAAGAAATCATATCTTTTCCCTTTATAATTAATACTAGTATGGATTAAAATTAAAACATAAAACTACATAGATAAATAAATGAATTAAGCTGAATAATTACAAAAAAGTTAATGCTATAACTACATTACAATTTTATGTTATAAGTTTTTTGTTAAGCATTTTTCATTAAGTATATTTTTTAGTATAGCACTATGAATGTGAAATTGATCAAATATAAGGATTTCTATATTAAGTGCAATGTACAGTTTATCATTTTATACTGATGAGTCTAATCATAAAAATAAAGTAAAACTTACATTCCTTGGGCAAAACGGAGACAGCTACAATAGGTGGGTAATTCAGGTATTCTAGCTATTCTTTTGTATCATTCCATAATCAACTTTCATGTAACATTATTTATAACTATAGTAATTCAGTCTATCTATACTCATTACGCCCGAAGTGTTAACTTTTATATTAACTCGAACATTGGAAAAACAGCACAGTAATATTGGTACAAAAAGTAATATTGCAATTGATATAATTACCAGAAAAAAAAAATTAAAATTTTAAACACACATTTGAACACACTCACGTTCTTTTAATCTAAGCAACGACTAAAAACAATTAAAAATTATAGTTAAATTAATTAATTTGTAATGTAAAATTTTAATTTACTGTTATTGACTTTTCTTCTTCTTTTTGAATTAATGGCGTTGCCCTTGTAGATTTTGCTCAAAGGTGTTCAAAACGACTAAAAATCAATAACGAGCTAAAGACTTATTATAATTTTTTAACGTGTTAATGAAGGCGCTAATTTATTAACGGGTTAATGAGGAAGTATTTAAAAAAAAAACTAGTTCCCGAAATCAAACTAGATGTCACTACGGCACGTTCTTGATTTCTCTATTACAACCCTTCCGGTTTTCTTTCATGTTTAAAAGTAAATTAGTTTTCAAAACTCAATAAACAACTCATATTCTATTTGTACTTTTTCGTATTAGTATTGATATCAAAGTTTCAAACTTTTCAAATTTCAATTGTTAAAAGGAACGGAAATTACCTACCGTCTTTGGTCCATTCGGTTCCTACAAAAATCAACTTTTGCTAGAACCGCCATCTAGTGGAGATGCTTTTTTAGTGCTTTCGTTTTTTTTTAAATACTTCCTCATTAATACGCTTTTCTCTCTTAACGATTAACACTGCTAAGTAGGTATACGCGAAACTATAATAATCTGTGCTCATGATTGTCCGCCCCAGACTACCGTTGCATGGGTTGATCCCTCTCTGTAAAACTATATAATCTGTGGCTATATAATCTGTGCTTTAGTGTGCGCTTAAAAATTCTTTAATTTTTCTCAACATACGCTAAAATTTACATCAAATAATGGTTTACAACAGGCAGTGTAAGTTAATTATATCGCATAGAAACCATGTAAATATTAGTCGCTGTGTCAAGTGTACGTAGTTAACGAGTGTTTGATCCCTTTCGTCTAACGCTAAAAAAGATTTAGACAAATAAAAGATAGGTAATAATTTAATCTGTTTACTAAAAAAATTAGTGTTTGCTCTAAGATATATATTGTTTTACCAGATAATACCCGGAATTCTACCGGCCGGTACAATACAACGGGACAGTTTGTGGCAGCAGGAGCGGTAAGATTTAACTACATACAGTACTAAATTTTAATGCATATTTAATAGAAATATGACAATATTTAAAAATATTTATGACTATATTGTTGTGACAGCATATTGCCGAGCCGCACGAGCGCTGGTACTGGATATGCAAAGTCAACAGTTACTCTCTGACTGGCACTAGGGCCTTGAACATCTGTCTGCCTGCATTGAGCGAGACGAGAGAATGAAATATGCTCCAAGGTCTCCCCCAATGTTTGGTGTCTACCAGAGGCATTATTGTTTTATAATTAATATTTGTAATGACTTAAATTAACGGCCTATGGTGAAAGATTTCAGTGATGTAGCTTGCAGCCTCTCGGAGAGTATCTCTGTGGGTTGAGAATACATTATGATCACAAGACAAAAAGTTTCGTGCTCATATAGGGTTCTCTAGACTTAAGTAGACAGTAAGCTGCACCGGATTCCTAGCATGTGCACATCCTCTGAAATTGTAACTTCAAAATTCACTTCAAACTCATGGTGATTGAAAACAATAAATAATTTAGTTAAAACCAATATGCTTGCAAAATAATATGACATGATTTTATGTCATATATGGTGTAATAGTGTGGTAGGGAACAACTAAATTAGTTCAATTTCATTGGATTTGAACATGACAGGAATATGGTTGGAGATGGGTAATGTGGAACCACCCTCGCTGTATGGTTGAATTATGAATGTGGTTCTTATCCATCCTTATTCATCCCGTTTTCCTTGTCTATTCCTCCTGTTATGAATGTTGAGTGTTTGAGTGAGAGGTGTGACACGTGACCCACATGGCTGAACCATGCCAGCTGGTAGTGGGCAGAGACTCCTGGAGATGGTGTTATGCTGATAACATAGAGGAGTTGTCATTGTAAGTAAAAATATTGTACTCTTATGTACTCTACTTTTAAACAAATTAAGAGGTGAAGGTATTCTGAATGTTGTATTTGTTTTTATTAAAATAATAAAACTTGTGCAGTCTTTTGATGGATAACATAACTTTTACTTTAATTCAACAACAATCTATTATTAGTCATATATTATTACTGATAATAATAAACTTTAATTAAAACTTTGCAATATTACATGAATGAAAGCATTTTACAAGTCTAACCTCTTCATTTATGTGTTTTCATAATAATGTTAGTAAAATGAATAAATATATGTACAGATGAACATATATTTTAAAAGTTAAGTTATATTAGTAGTTATCAGTGATGTAATGCACAGGGTATGTGTAAAATTATCCAGATACCACCTATACTTTAAATTGTTAATTTAAGGATAATAACCTATAACAGATGAGCAAAGTGGAATGCCTAGTCTAAAGACAAATTAATAGTTTTGTAATTGATATCATATTACAAACATTTGTACAACACAAATAAAAATTATGGCAGATATTAATTTTTTTTTGTGATGCTGGTGTTGGATCTTAATGATATGTTTTGAGCTTATAAAAATTTCATTCTCCACTGCTTGTACTATGACTAGCAGCAACAGCAGCAACAGCAGCAGCAACAACAGCAGCAGCAACAGTTCCAGCCGCCGCTGCCGCCCATGCCGCCGCAACCTCTGCAGACTCAGTACCAACGAAATGTACAAACGGTCAACATCCAACCTCCTATGCCCCAACAACAACAACAACAACAATATCCAAACAACAAACTGCAGGTCACTTGTTAATTGTAACTGTTTTGCTTTATATTCATTATACAATGCTTTAGGATTACAATAAATTGTCACAGAAAAGATACACTATTTACATTATCAATTTTTTATCAAGAAGACTGGAAAGTGAGAAGAATTCTGCAACATTATGGCTTTTAAACAAATCTTTACTTTTTAATTTGGAGATTCCACTAACTCGCACCACGATTCACCTCTACATTCATCGTGCAAACTGCAAAGCTTTGGAATTCGCTACCGGACTCGCTGTTTCTGGACAAATACAATCTGGGACTCTTCAAGTCAAGAGTGAATCGGTTCCTTCTAGGCAAGCACGCTCAATCTATGACCACTGCATTGCTTACCATCAGGTGATCTGTGGTCAAGTGCTTGCCTATCAAGAATTAAAAAAAAGGTCAAATGGATATTAATGAAGACTTTCGATTAAAGAGAGGTCTTGTATTATACATAAAAACCTTCCTTTTGAATCACCCTATCTATAAAAAAAATATCGCATCAAAATCCGTTGCGTAGTTTTAAAGATATGAGCATACATAGGTATATAGGGTCAGATAAAGCAACCTTGTTTTATAGTATGTAGTGATGTGTCTTTTCAGGAGTCGGATGTTGAAATGAAAGCAGAACCTGATGCGGAATCGGCCGGCGGCGATGACTCCGACCCCACCCGTCCCTCCTGGATGAAGATCAAGTCACCTGGAAGTAAGTACTTCTTACATATATACAGTCATCACACAACCTATTTTGTTAGTTATATTTCGGCATGGCCTAGTTATATCTATAGTGTACTGTAACCATTTTTACTTAAATGATTTTTTTTAATGGACTTTTATTTATTTATTTTATTTATTTAGTTACATGCTGACTTACAGACTAATACATCCAACACACCAGCATGTTAAACATAGCAATAAAAAGAAAATTAAAAAAAAAAAACAATGTCAGTTTAGTTAATTTTCAATTACATTTAAAAATTGTCAATATCATAATAATAACAAAATTATAGAATAGTACGCATGTCATGAAAATAATAAACTAAAACAAATGTCATATAAATTAAAATAATTTGTCAAGAAAAAAATAATAATAACGGTCACAGATAATCAATTAATAATCAATTACACAGTCAATATTGGTTAAGAAATGTCGAGCACTTATAGTTAATCGAGTAATACCATCAAAAAATACATCACTTTTTTCATGTTGAGCAAGGATGTCACCAATGAGATGCAGTGCACGTATAGTAGGTGCCTGCGCAGCGTATACGGTACGCGTGCGGGGCGTGGATAACAGCCGCGGACGCCGTCGCGGCGCCACTAAACCCATATTGCTATTAGAGATGCGTACAGGCACAAAAAAACTGAATTTCTCTAATATGTGAGGACAGTCAACTTTGTTATAAAGTACAGAAAGGTAATGCAGAACTAGGAGTAATTTTCGCCGTAGCGCAAGGGTGTCAATGCCCACCATACCCGATACAAATAGCGAAGGATATAGAAAAGGGTAGTAGCCGTAAGTCTTTTTGTACAGCCAACGTGCAAACTTCCGCTGGACCTTTTCTATCATAAGGGAATATTTATTTTCATGGGGATCCCAAATGATTGCCCCATATTCGAGCTTACTACGTACGTAGGCATAATATAACACGCGGGCCACTAACAGATTGTTAAACTCATTTGAAGTCCTAATAATAAAACCTAAAAGTTTGTTTGCCGCTTTACAGATAGATGTTGCGTGTTTATGAAAGTCCAATTTCGTGTCCAATGTCAAGCCAAGATCCTTAATTTCATTAACCCTATCTAAAGTTTTGTCAAGTAATTTGTAGTCAACTATAATATGTCGTTTTCGCGAAAAAGTGATAATTTTACATTTAGATTCGTTGAATGGCATACGATTGATATAACTCCATTCTGCAACAGAATTTATGTCACGTTGCAAATCGTTCGTATTTTCCACTTTATCTACCCCGACAAATAATTTTAGATCATCTGCAAACAACAGACATTGCGCCACTGTAACAGACTTCGGCAGGTCATTTATCATTAATAAAAAGAGAGTCGGACCCAAGGTACTTCCTTGACTTACTCCAGATCGTGTATAAAATTTTTCCGACTCAAATATACCCAACCGGACAAATTGACAACGGTCCTTGAGATAACTTGCGAAAAATCTTAGAAGTTTTGGGATGAAACCTGCCTTCGCCATTTTTTGTAGCAATATGTCGTTATCTACCAGGTCGAAAGCTTTTTTAAGGTCGAAGTACGCCGCATCCACTTGTCTTCCCGAGTCCATGACTTATTCATTGGTGTCATATAGTCACTAGCACAAGTTTATTCAAACTGTCAAATTCTTGATGGTAAAGTCAGTTGTTTAGTTTGTGATAACCTGATTTGCTGAGCTGCACGTAAAACATATCACTTGGGAATAAGAGGAGCCTTTAATCCTTAAGATAAGAGTATTATAATTTTGCACTTCAGCACTTATACGATCGGTTAACACTACTGTATCACTGTGTTTAGTGAAAAAAATAAGTAAGAAGGAGAAGCGTCGCCGCCAGAACCAGCACCTGCGCAGGCTGCTCACGCCCAAGAACGCGCTGATGGTGCTCAACGAGATGATGCTGCAAGACCAGCTTACCAACGTGAGTCGAATCTATTTGCGCGTACTAATTAAATAGTACAGTTTCCGTCCGGTCAGCGACGACCATGTTTTTTGACAAACGGACCCCTAACCAAAGTAATTTCTGACTAAATAAAATACGTTATATACAAAGTAGTTGTAGTTGATTACATTAATTTTAACAAAATTGTTTTGACAAATGTGTCGTGTCCATGCAGCAGTTCAAAGTGGAGCCGGCGGACGCAACTAACCAGTATTACAAAAGTCAGAAAACCAGTTTCTGTGCCGATCTCACGCTAGACGGCATCACCTACAAGGGATACGGTGAGATATTTTATTTTACTTTATTTTATTTAAAATAACAAACAATTACGAAAATTATTTACAATAGATATCTTAAGTATAATATTTTACTTAATTTGTAATCAACTACGTTATCCTCTATGTCCTATATTATGTTATGTTCACGGCGGGCTATTCCGCAACTTGACACTCGGTGCCTGTTTTGCGTGATACGGGTTTGCCTCAGTCGTGCCACCCCATGAGTAATAAGTTTTCAAACTTTGCCGCAAGCCTCCACTAGTGTTTTGGGCTACCTAGATGTGTAGTCCTCTGTCTTGATAGGCTTTTGCATTCCATTAGGACACGAGCGCTTGACTCTTCAGACGCCATGCACGTCCTGCACAGAGGACTGTTAGAATAACCCATGTTATAAAGGTGTTTGTTAAAGTTTCAATGTCCAGTAAGTATACCTATTTTCCTTTGAGTTTTTTTAAGTAATTTGTTCAACTTTCGTGCTAGTCGTAGTTCTGCCTTCGAAATTGCTTCGTTTCTGAGCTGTCAAAATGGGATGGGTATAATGGGTTCCGGTCCGATGGGTTTTTTGCTGGACCTCTTTTTGGCCAAGCAGTCTGCTGCATCATTACCCCTCGACCCACTATGTCCTTTGATTCATTGTAGAGCTAATTTATTTTTCCTACATACCTTCGTTAATTTACAGTGGCATTTGTGTATTAGACATGATGTCATTATGTCGCTGTCTAGTGCTTGTAGTACTGATGCACTGTCAGAGAGTATATGGATATTCTTACCTCTCCCTCCCCGGCATGCAATTGCTTCTGCAGCCTTTATTATACCCAAACATTCTGCTTGGAAAAACGTATTTATATTATTTTGTCTGTCTTGTCAAAAACGTTCTGGGAATTAAGTCGTTTATTGCCTTAAAGAATGGGTATTCTTTGTTGAGGCCTTCTGTTGTGTAAAAAGATGTTAAGGTCTTACGTTGAGTATCGTCGGGGTAGGCCTCATGCAGCCAGAGATTGCGCAACATACGCGTCTTTGAAGGCTTTTTAGTTTATCTATGACTGCGTTGTCTTGATCCACAATACAATCGCTCCGTAGCTTATGATGGGCCTTATGATCGTCTCATACAGCTACCTGGTAATATGTGGAGCTAATTCCCATTTCTTACCTATCATGCTGCGGCATTGCTAGAAGATGATGCTGGCTTTTGTAATGGTTTTTTCTATATGTTTTCTTCAGTTTAGTTTGGCATCCAGTATAACACCTAGATACTTTACCCACATTTCCATCACTTTCAGTGCTGTACGTGTGACGTCGCACACTGTGTTTGCAAACTTGCCTGATATTGAGATAACTAAGTCATCTGCGTATTCTATTGTTTGTTTTTGCTGTGCTAGTGTGCTGTGCCAGGCACGCTCTTTGAAGAGGCACCAGTATCCTTGTCACTACCTCCTTGGCCCATTATAGGAGTGCCGGAAAGATTTCATTTGGTCCAGCTGCATTCTGAATCCTATTCCTGTCCTCACCCTGCCGATGTGTCATTGTGATTGTCACTGGGTTGCCGATTTTTTTTTTTTAATAATCGTACAGCTTACCAAATTATATAAATAAAAATAAATACCTAAAACATAATTTAGATTGTAATCTGTTGTTTATTTTAACGACATCTATACGTGTACATTTCCGTCACATCCGCTCTGACAAGTGCCGTATTATATTGGGCACCTGTTTAATCTGTAGGCGAGAACAAGTTGATGGCGCGCAACGCGGCGGCGGAGCAGGCCATCCGCGACATGATCATCAAGCGCATGCAGAAGGCGGTCACGCAGCAGGACTTCACCGCCACCGTCGACGGTACACACCGCCCCACTACTCACTGATGCTTATATAAAATATATCTAGTAAAGCTTCATTTGTATCTTATTATATTTTGCAGAAACTATTTATGTTTTAATAATATCGACACATGTTACTTGTATTTAGTAAATTAGAATTGATATGTTTTCAGATTAAGCCCCGTTGCATACCTTTTTGTTTTTCATTAAAGTGACAACTGGAACTATGCACGACCGGGGCGTAGACAGCTCTTTTATATTATTATTTTATAGATATACATGAAACATATCTAAAAAGATATCATTCATATAATAAGTTAAAATCTAAAAATATTAAAAAAAAATCCTGCGAAAACGCTACTTCTGTATATTCTGGCGGCGCTATGATGACGTCGTTCTGTGTATGCATAAGGTTGAATTTTCAAAATTCTGATATGAGTAAGATGGGCGTGACGTCGCGCTGTTTGCGGTATTTGTTTTTCATAATATTTTTTTTTAAATATATTGTTTGCGAGATGGTAAGTAGCATACAATGCGCTGTGTAACAGAGGCGCTGTCTGGGGGCGGTGGCAGCGGTGGTGGGGGCGGTGTGGGGGGCGAGGAGGAGGAGCCGCTGCCGATGATCCAGCTGGCCTCGTTCGCGCTGCACAAGCTGTTCTCCGAGTGGGAGTTCGAGGGGCACAAGGTGCCCGCGCTGCGCCCGCCCTCCGCATCGGTCAGTGCCACTCTTGTCGTTTTCAGAGTTACATATCTGAAAGCTAAAAATGAGATTTCATCGCTCAGATTTTATCGTTCTTCAGGCATCGGGTCGTATTTCTAGAACTGGGATGGGGAGATAGATAAAATGTTATGTTTGAACAATTTTGCATTCACAATGCTACACTGAATGGACCTAACAGGACTGACCGACGAATGTGTAACGATGTATGGTTGTGTTATCTAGTAGACTGATGGCTGGTTGGGTTATTACATAGACGCCTTTGTATTTGTAATATAAATATTTATTTATTGAATTTGTAGTACAATTTATAGAATCTTATGTAGAGACATTAGTATAGACTTTTTTAATATGTAACGAACATTTTATATTTAAGATTATAAAATCAAATTAAAAATCATAGACAAAAAAAGTATTTATGTTCCACGCAACAGAATGTTTCGAGCATTCGTTACTCGTGTTCTCCTCGGAGGTTAAATTCGGTTCGTTTATGTGCAGACGTCGGAGGCGGAGGGCGAGGGCGGCGCGGGCGCGGGGGCGGGCGTGGGGGCGGGGGCGGGGGCGGGGGCGGGGGCGCGGTTGCGGCCCGCCAAGAAGGCCAAGGAGGTGCCGGGCAACGCGGCCGCCATGCACCCGTGCATGCTGCTCACGTACATGCGGCCGCACCTGGAGTACCGCGAGCTGGCCGTGCACGGCGACCGGCCGCAGCACATGACCTTCACCATGGGCGTGGACGTCGACGGCGCCACCTACATAGGGAAAGGTGCGGAAAATAACTTTATTCGAGTAGGCTATTACGAGCACTTTTGAATCGTCCAAAAAATGTTTTCTCCCCTCCCACTTGTTCAGGACATTTTTTAGCTGACAAGAAGAACAAGCGAAAGAAACTTACCAGTTCTTTATCATAAGTAATGACATTTACATAAATCATGTCATTAGCAAAATTTCAAAGTCTGTAGGACATAAGTTGAACATATAATTAGTCTTTATAGAACAAAACGAAGGCTATTAATTCCATGCATTGCGATCCTTAAAATAATCATCAACTTTATAATTTACTCATAAGTATGTTCTTTACATGAATTTTAAATTTATTTATGGTTACGTCGATTACATTTTGTGAAACTTTATTGAACATAGCAATGCATTCATTTACCCAGAAATTATCCTCTGGTTTTACATTACATTTATCCAGAGAACTCTCTTTTGTAGAAATAAAATATCCTGAATGCTAGCCGCAGAACCCCACAACAATATTACCATACGTCATAACACTATGAAAATAACTTAAATATATCAATCTTGCCGTTTCAACATTTGTCAAGAGCAAATGCTGCAGAACTCAGTCTACTTGACGAGTTATCAATATGAGGATCCCATTGCAGTCGGGAATCTAGTGTAATACCAAGGAACTTTGTCGATTCCACCAACTCAACTTTATCACTATTTTACATTTATAAGTGTACTGACACGCCTCACATTAGGTAATGCAAACTTTATGCATTTCGTTTTATTCGAATTGAGCTTTAAATTATTACTATCAAACCACTGTAGAACATTGTCGAGAGCATCATTTACATCGTCAAAACAATCATTACCCCTTAACTTTAAACAGTAAAGAGGTGTCATCTGCAAATAATACTGTCAGTATCCCTCTCGCGTTGTACACGACCGCCGGTAGGTCGCGCGCAATATTGATGGTGCCTAATGCCGGTTCCAGCGTCCAACAAGAAGGAGGCCCGCAAGGCGGCGGCGCGCTCCGCGTGCACGGCGCTCTTCGGCGTGCACTTCCACGAGCACGCCTCCGCCACCGCGCCCGCGCCCGCGCCCGCACCCGCCTCCGCCTCTGCGCCCGCACCCGCCACCCCCGCCGTTTAGACCGCCAGCGGTATGAGTCGTTCTTCCTTCGTCTTTGTGTTCTAAATGTTGTCTCGATAATCGTGTAAAATCACGCGTTCGTCTCTTAGAAATAGCAAAAAAATTAAATTTTAGATAATTTTCCTCAATGCAATTGTTGTCCGCTCGACCGTTTTTCAGTTTGAGCGAATGAGGCCTCGGAAAGATATATTTATCAAAAGTTTGAAGCGATAGATGGCACGAATTATTAATTTTATTAAATCTATTTTCCCAACTCTGTCCGCTCTTCGCCGATATTCCCCGTTAAACGTACGATATGATATGTGCGGGTGAACGAGGCCGCTCGGCGCACTGCCGTCTCGAATACGATGAACGACCGAAAAAACGTCTCGAACAAAATTGACACAAATTTTATTCCCTCCCTATTTCTATAGGACGGTAAAATTATTGACCCGAAAAAGATTACGGTGACCCTTGACCTCGCTTTGTGACGTGAACGCGTAAAATATATCTTTTGAGACAACTTTTAGAACTCGAAATTGAGACTGATCGGCTGCGAATTCGCATATGTAAATTTGCACCTTATCATGTTTCGATCCGAAGTAAAACACTGATTTGACTGGACTTGTACGGAGACGTTTCACTGTAAAGTTCCTACCCGGTCATCGCTGCTACCGAACTGGTAATCGATAAGTGATAAGCTACCTTAAAAATAGTAGAAAGTAAACTGATTGTATTTTTCTCGGCTATATTTTGACTGACGTTTAAAAATGTTAGTGTTGTATTCAATACTTTTCGAATGAATTATGTATAAGCGGCTTTATCATTACTATATTTGTGAAGACGTCGGAGGTCCGAAATGCAATATTATAATTTATCATGAAGTGTATCTTTATTTTTACCTGTATGTGTATAATTATTAGCCACTGATTAGTTAGTAGCGTTATGTATACAACTAATGATATTACAATAAAAAAGAGTTCATAGGTATGTCAGTGTTAATACGATATCTAAAATTGCCCCCAGCATACACACATACACATGACACACGATACAATCCAATAATACATGATTTAATGCATGTTTAATGCCTACTTTTACCTTAATGAGTTTATAATGGTGTATAACGATTACTCTATTATTTCTCCTTGCTGTTTGTGTTTAAAAGTTTAAATTCTGACACTGATATCTGTTATATATAATAACACGAGGGCTTCGATCGAAACCGAAAGTACTTTTTAATTTTAATACAAACTCCGGAGTTTCAGTATTTTATAGATTTTCGAGTGCGTAGGCAGTGAAGTCGAGTTGTCCGTTCTGTTACGTACATAGTCTTTGACAGATCTCTCACAATTTGTAACCGAGTGTTTACTCTTTCTTTTTATGACAATATTTATTTTTCTGACTAAAACGTAAATCAATTAAAATTGTATACTTACGAATGAAATGCGACTTGTGTAATTTCGAGTTTCGCATAACGCAGGACTTCATTTTTACAATGAAATGTGACATTTTGAAAATGAAAGTAACCTACCTGCCCTTTTTTAATTATAATATCATTGTATACAACTGTTAGTTCTGTAAAGATGAATCGTCGGTTAGGTTGACGAGACTGTGTTATAATTGTAAGGTATTTCATAATTGTAACGTCATAGCTGACTATTAAATGTCACTTGAGTAATCTCCAATTGTGTTTTACTGAAGTCCTTTATTATAGTTGATTGTTTAATCGATCCGGTTGTTTCCGCTTCTTATATTGAACTTTCAATATGGCGTGCGGGACCAAACGCTAAAAAATTATACTTGAAACGACTGGGTTTGCCTGTCAAAACGCTCATATATCTCACTGTAAAGATCCTTTGGATCTGTTCGATTAAGCTAGAATTAGTTGACACATCGGTTATTACGTTAAACTTCTGTAATTTATTTTGCCCTCTCATTAACATTTCAAAGTTGTAGAAAGAGTCATGTGCGATTTAACCTACAATTTATTATATAGTGATGATAGATGTCACAATGTAGATTATTTTTTACTTATTAATAATTACATTTAAATTTATTTTTACTATTGCGAGTCAAAGGGCTTTGATTTTAATTAATTTTAAATTACATAGCTTCACAATTATTTCGAGTTTTGGCAACTGCTATAACTTCAAAACATTATTTATAAATTACGCATTTCCCTGGTCTTCAGATGAAAAGATGCTTGGTTTTATTTATTTTATATTTTATTGCAACTGTGATTATTTAAGCAAAAACTTAAATAAACACAAATGGTAGGTAGACACGTATCTATTATCGACTGTACATATAGTTTTGTATGACTAATATCAATCGACGGTTCTGAATCGTGACGAAACTTTTAATAGCAGTTGCGTGTGAAAAGTTTATTTTGTTACTTGCAAATAAAATTATGTACATACTTTCCTTCATACAAATCAGCTGGTGTAGGAATGTGATAGTCTAAAATAAATAAATAACCAAATCGGACGTTATAGCTTTTATTTTGTATTAAGATCTCATTCTCGATTCATTCATAATATCACTTAGATCTAATGTACTAATTTTAAGGTAGAAGGTAGAAAGAACAACTTCAACTGGCGTCGAAATAAGATAATTTTATTAGAACATTAGCTTTGATCTTAATTAAACATTTGTTAACCATATACTAATTGCCTTATGTTTGTTTATTTCAATTATAATTAATAATAGGGATGATGACTGGGTAAAAAAAATGCAATTCTATTTAGTCCGTCAGTCAGATAATACAAAAATATTAGATGTATTTTTTTTTATCTTCAATTTAACAAGAAATAGTATAGATAACAGGCATTAAAGTTGAGGAGTGGGGGCCCGCTACGTCACAGTTGAGTAGAAAACGTACTCTAACGTGACGTCATGTGAAATTTCAACTCAATGTAACGCCGTTATTTTATGATTACGAAAAAAATAAAAAAATACCTGTTTAATATTTTTTAACACTCTACCTGACGGACAAACAAACAAAAATTAGTCATCATCCCTATTAGGCTTAAAGCCATATGTTGTATTTCTGCAAAGTAGGTAGTAGTTGTCAGATGTGAATACAGTTACAACTAAAATAGCAAACATGTAACTAACGATTTAACTAATCTCTACTCAGTCTTAGCAGACGGCAACGATAGGCGATAGCACTATGTAATTTCTCTAATCAATTTGAACCTTTAATCTGTTAGTAATTAAATTCAAATGAGGAAGTATTAAAAAAAAACGAAAGCACTAAAAAAGCACCTCCACTAGATGGCGACTCCGGCAAAAGTTGATTTTACAGGAATGGACCCAAGATAGTCATCCTGTTCCTTTTAACTAACATATTAAAAAACTAAAATTTGAAAAGTTCGAAACTTAGATATCAATCCAAATACGAAAAAGTACAAATAGAATATGAGTTGTTTATTGAGTTTTGAAATTTACTTTTATACATAAAAGAAAATTGGAAGGGCTGTCATGGAGACATTAACAACGTACCGTAGCGACATCTAGTTTGATTTCGGGAACTACATATTTTTTTAAATACTTCCCCATTAGATTGTGAACATTTATCAGTATATATAGTACAGTGCAGTGTGTACTAAGGTTACGCCCACTGCCAGTACGACATTATATTATACCATACAACTCAAACAGAAACTATTAACCTACACGACATGCCACAATATACCTACTATATTTTGGTGGGGAAGGATTGGAGGTACTTGTCAAAGTCGATCGAGTGCAGCACATACAACAATTTGTTAGATGTCGATGTCTGGTAGCGAGATTTTATCTGTATTTAAGATTAATGAAGGTACGTTCACATTACAAAGAATCCCAATCAAACAAAAATAGAGTTTTTATTATTGTTATTCGTAACTTATACTGAGCATAAATTGTGAAACAAAGTTTGGACTTGGATCAATAAATTAGTGAAATATTTGGTATAGATGTATCAAATAAGATAAGATTTGAAGATAAAAGAATTATTTGATTTTTAAATGTTGGACGTGTTGTCAGTCAGTGTGTGCGGGCCCTCCGTAAGGTGAATAAGATGACCATCATAAAATATATTAATAAATAATGTGGGAAAGAGTTACAGCTTTACAAAAGATGTATTTGTAGTCACGAAAGGTGCTACACAATTTAAATATATAGTTTTAAAAATAGGTATTGTGATTCAGTACACTTATTTAAACTTAATAAATTTGTACTAAAACTAGTAATGTTTACTAATGCGGCTTCAAATTATAAATTATTATTATTTACAAGAACAACATTGGCATCTCGTTCGTTTTATACAACATAATTATTAAAACAATGGAATATGTGTGTGAATGACAAAATTGAAAACAAAACGTAAACTCTTTAAGTTTTTAAGTTGAAACTTTAAAAACGTTACAAGTAAAAGAAAGCCCCACAGCGCGAGTCCCAGTACTATAAATATACCACTTGTTTTTAATTTACACTGGTCTTTGCACTTAAGTAAATAATCATCTTTATTAAATATCGCAGGAATCAATAAAAATAATAACAACAGGTACTTAACGGGAATTAACAGGTAGGTAACTAATATTAAGTTCAAATAATAGCTAGTTTAATCGCTGGACATGTAGTCTTACATTTCTAGAAGTACTATCGATGTTTTCTCGATAGATATAAGTATTGATATTAACCAATAACAAAAGAAATAGCAAACATGATTATCAAGATGCGTATCCTATTTTAATTCAACTAAAAAATGTAACCAACTATGGTTACCAACACGAACTACAAGTTTTAACCCTTTGGTGTAACAGGGTCCGGTCGTTCTCCTTATAGCACGTGGACCTATTGGAATATACTTTAAGGCTGGTTCACACACAATACTGGAGTAAAGAATTTAACAGGCATAGAAATTCTGGTGACTATTGCTAGAGGTGGGCGCCATGTTGATGCAGCTAATTGGGTTATGTAAGACTACGTCAGAATTTATACTACAAAGCCTCTTACGGGTTTTTTAAGTGAGCGGTATTTTTGTTTTTACTATGGACTACAATATTACTAGGTCATGTTGTTACTAAAAAATATGAAGTACCCACATGAGCTATTCATTATACACGCAGCAGCACACCAGGTTACAGTTTTGTTTATATTGCCTGATGTGCTGATAACTGTATAATACTTACACCCAGTTCCACACACAGAACAGATAAAAAGGTAGAACGATTAAGTGGGCGGGGTCGTGCGACCATCCATATGCCCAAAACGGTCATATGAACGTCATGTTACTCAAATTTCCAGTTTATTATTTGCACAATGTCATAGTGGTCTATGGTGCGTCGAAAAATACGAAAATATGCCGAATAGTGCCGTTATTACGAGTCGTTTGCGTAATGAAAATGTAATTCTGAAAAAAGGAGAAATTTCATTTCATCGGTAAGTAAAAAATATTGGTTATATAACAGTATATCGAGATATAATCACATATTTTTTTCCGTGAGATTGTGTCAGTTGTTAACATAGTGCTTGCAGATATCGATAAAATGCTATCGATAGTACTTAACCCTAATATTATGAATGACAATCAATTTACATGCAATTATAACATTAAATCTATTAAGATAAATAGTTAACAGAAATTTTTTAGAGATTTGTATGTTTTTGCTACATAATAGTGTTAATTTGTTACATAATAGTTGCCGCCAATTGTTACATAATAGTGTTAATTTACTATTAAATTTTGTAATTCATTGTGTAATGTGAACAATAAAGAGTTTTGTATTGTATGTTTCAGTTTTCATAAAAGAAAAGTGGATTGACGCGTGATAGAAATGGTCAATGGTTTCCTTCTAAAACTAGATACATTTGTTCAACATATTTTTCTGTAAATGATTTCATTAATATTAAATAATATGATAAATTACTTACAAATTTATAATGAAATATTATGTATTACATCTAATTTTCTGATTATATTGTGAAATTAAATGTTATATTGGGATATTATTGAAATATAGTTTCAATGAGACATCTTTGTTATTATTTTCCATTCTTAATATATTGTGCTTCATATAATACCTAGTTAGTAAAAAAAATATGGATCATTAAATATACAAAAAAAATATAGCTAGGTATCAAAAAATAAAACTATGACTATATAATAGAAAAAAGGCTAATTCAAATTATAAAATCTAGGCCCCAAAGGGCCAAATTATCATCACTGTCACCTGCTCTTGATATGTGACCCCGTTGCAGCCTACTTCTGATTAAAACTGACAAAAATCGCAGTTACATTGCTACTTTAGCAAGATAGGAATTGGTCTAATTGATCGAGCCGTTTCAAGTGAAAGTTGATTACAATCATTGTGAAGTGATTACATACATATGGTATTTATTTTCATTGGATTTTTTTTCGTGAATATGCGAAATGATAAATTAATAAATTATTTTATTATATTAACCCAATATATCAATGATTTTCTGATTATCGATATCAAATTGTGAATCACAGGGCACTTCACTATTTCAGTGTTGACAGAAGCGTAAAATTCTTTGCATTATATTTTGAAAAATTGTTTTAATGCAGATACGTCGTGCAATAACATTTTTATGTAATGAAACATGTATTTCAAATGTTTACACATTAACTAATTTAATATCCGCGCACAAAATATAATATTTAGAACTAACAAAAGTAATTGTGCAAATTTTTATTATAGCTAGCCATACATTTTGTGTATTACTGTAAAATCACCTGTATTAATAGGCTAGTATATACTAATTTTGCTGAAACTTTTGTAGCCAATGGAAGCATCGCTCTCTTTGTGAGCTGAATAGGTGAAGTTTTATGTCTGTGTGATATCTGGCACGCGCGGTCCTAGTACTAATGTTAGTACGTTATCATTCTAACCTTTTTATGTCCGTTAAAATAAAGCGACATTTCCGGTACTTTTAAAATTTGGAATATTCGTTAAAGCTTTACCTTTAATGCGATGTTAAATAATTCTAAATGGCATTAACTTAAGTAAATAGAAGCGCATATAATGCGATCACACCCCGAGCGCGGGGAAAAAGAAGGAGAATATTGATTAGTTTTAGTGATAAATGCGAGCGAAAATTGGTATGTAGAGACGTAACACTAATGGTACGGGACTAAGTGAAACTTTTATGTTGGCACTTTTGAACTCTCATAACGTTTAGGTATCATATATTATTATCTTTAACCGACGTATGTGCAACTGGGCTTATAGAAACTTAACGTCCTTACTTGCCAAACTAAACGCACACTTGATTTAACAGTAACCAGTACACAACTTACCAGAATAAAAAACATAACATTACAAATACTGGGAATAGTTACTTATGTATTAAATAATCTCAAACAATGATAATAACAATAAGTATAAAATCATAAATCAACAATCCATCAAAAAGTAAAAATTCTAATAAAAATAAAATTCTCAATCTAAAAAATTGAACGTTCACGATTTACTTCTGCGCGTTATGATTATAAAATTAGCACAGTAGACAGCACGTCAGGTAAGGTACAAAACGTACAGAGTTTTAAATTTGAATTGTAAACCAAAGCGACTCGGAACGAAACACTCGAAGGGACGGTTATTTTAAATACTACAATTAGTCTATCTCCTAGATGAGTATAACCATTTCGGCGGCCGCAGCGGCCACCTTTTACATATATTAGTAAGTTACATTTGGACGTCATTAATTTTATTCATTCGGCGAAATTGTATAAATAGCGTGACAAGGTATGGCCAACATCACACTAATGTCACATTTTCTAGGTGGTTTTGAATTTTAACGTGCTGGCTTTTTAGTTCAAAATTTTATTTACAAGCAAGATTATGTGAGAAGGTAGGTATGGTATAGCAGTAGGTATCGTCTTTTGACAAGATTCACATGTTTTCCTGAACTAACGATTGCCTCAGGTTAGCTGCAAATTATTTTAGATTCGGCAAGAATAAAAAAGAATGTTATTTTTTATGTAGAATCAGAAGATTGTCCTACAAAAGGATCTAAAAATTGTCCCACGAAATCCTACCAATTTGAATGACAATCTTTAGATCCTATAGCTTAATAAATAGCATTCGAACAAGAGAATGGAAGTATTACAAGAGTAAAATAAAATATTAAGCTACTATGTTTAATGTAAACGATGTCGGGTGGTGGGTATATGTTTCATATCCCGTATCATTCCCCGGTCAAAATGTATGCTCAACCAGATTTTCACGAGACAAATCCTCGTCTAACCGAAATTTAAAACGGGATCATGGCGGGCGGGAGCGGCTCACAGCAGCCGGTACGCCCACACGGACAGCGGCTTGTGCAGCGCCGCCGCGTGCGCCGCCTCGCGCCCCCCCACCACCAGCGCGTGCAGCCGCCGCGCCGCCCCCGCCCCCACCCCCGCCCCCGCCCCCGCCCCCAACGGCTTCTTCATCTCCTGCAGCTCTATCTGCAATCAACACGGTAGCTCATCCTTATCTGTCAGCTAGCTGTCACTGTCCCTATGACTTTGACGTTTAATCAGTTTCGCGCCATTATTCTACAGGGCGGTGATTTTTGTAAAACTATCTCGGAAACGACGTGGTAACTTTAAACGCATCAATCGAATAACGAAACGTGTCTTTCAGTTTATATTAATACACGAGCTGTGATTATGAAGATTACTAGTATCAAAACCGCAGATACAAAATAGGGGAATATGGGTAATTGGGAGGAGGCTGATCGGGTACCCGGTTCCAATATATCGTTGCCAGCTCCCGACAACACATTCTTTATGTGTTACCTTCGCAAGGCGAACATCGATAGACCGATGGAGATAGGACCGTAACCTTCTTTAAAAATTATTCGCATTCCACGAGGTCCTTCGGAGCATCCAGGATAATAAGCAATTTTACTTCCAAATGATCTGTTAAATCGTATGGGCCGTTTGAATAGACTAGTACTAACGATCTCCTGCGCGACGCCGGAGTCGGGCGTGAGGGCGGCCAGCGCGCGCACGTCGGGCCCGCCGTAGTGCGGGTTGCTGAACCCCAGCGCCACGCGCTCCGCACTCGCGTAGTCCGACGTCGACAGCTCGCCTTCCTCCGGCTCCGAGTCGCGCGCGCAAGTGAACCTGCAGGCATATGTCACTCCGCACTCATGAGGAGTCCAGCTGTTTCGGACCGAGGCATACAGCAACGTCGCCCCGGTTCGAACGTATAGATCGGGCGCAGAGCGGCGCTCGGATCACGATAGATCCACAGATGTCACAGAAGTTTCGGACGACCGCAGGACTATAAAACTACCTTCGTAGGGGATTCGCGAGAAGAATTCATTTTTACTGATTGCGCTAAAGCCCTCGGGGAGGAACAAATTTTCAGGCCCCGAAGTTCACCGGGATTATGGGGTATTTTTTTTGTTCTCCAATAGCCTGGTGTTCTTCGAGGAGGAGGATCTCCCTTCGGACCGTTCCGAATCGTTAGTTTCAGTCTCGGAATATTCATTCGCACTATCGACACGGACAGAATAGGATCCAGGCGTCGTCTCGGAGGAGGGCTCACCTGACGGCGGTGGCGCCGGGCGCGAGGGTGAGCAGGGCGTCGTGGGGCCCGCGGGGCAGCCAGGCGCGGCGCGCGGCCTCGGCCTCCGCGGCCGTGAGCGCGCCCGTCGGCAGCGACGCCTGGAAGTCCGGCACCGACGCGCCGTCCCGCGGCAGCTCCACCTGGACGCGCGCGGACATACCCTTTTTCAACTCTGTTTATATGACTATATCGTTTTAACCCAAACACAACTATGTCGGATTTTTATCGTGATGTTGATAGATGATAGTTTCCCACCTGCCGAATAGGACGGATTTCTGTGTCATCGTAAACTTTTTCTATGATGTACTCGATTGGATCAGTAGCATACTCTGGCGCTAGTGTACCCAAGCGAGGGCACGAAACGGCACCATTGCAGGAGCGACCGCTCGTGATCGCGTTCGAGAGTAAAAGGGCCGATAACGATATGGAGACGAGGATCCGATAGGGGTCGGCTCGGAGGAAATTCGTTTCGAGCCGCTCGCTTTTCCTGGATTTATAGCTAATTAGCAGAAAAAAAATAACGGTAGGTATCGAAAAACTCAAAATTTCAATTCAAAGACAACCGGGACGGGTCCTCTCTGGAGGAAATCGGTCTCAATCCACGCGGCGAGCGGACAGGTTCGATTCAGGTCCCCGGAGGTGGTGTGCTCACCTGCGTGTCCTCTATGGCGTACGCGGAGCGGGACTTGGCGAGGGCGGCCTCGTGCCGCAGCAGGCTCTCGGTGGAGTCCCGGTCGGGCGCCAGCACGCTGTAGGAGCAGCGCGCGCCGCGCCGCCGCCGCAGCCCCGACAGCCGCGATATCTCCCGCATGAGCCCGCCCGGCGACCGCCGCCCCGCCTCCCCCTCGCCCTCCCCCGCGCCCTCCACCTCCCCCTCCCCCGCCCCGGCCCGCGCCGGCGCCGCGCCCCGGTCGCACGCTGACGGCACGAGAAGCGCGCACGCGTCCACCCGCGGCGAGGGCCATTTCAAACTCTGCACTATTCGCTCCCACGTTTCCGTCGCTGAAAACGATCGGTTCCGATTAAAGGATGCGTCGCCTATCATATTGCCGCCGCGACATAAATATATATATATATTACCGAAGTGGAACCGCCACAGCTCGTTGGTGGCGTGGCCGGCGGCCTCCCCGCCGAAGACGTACAGATGTGCGCCGGCGCGCAGCCCCGCGTGGCCGCTGCGCGCGCTCGGGCTCAGCTTCGCCGGGACTCGCACCTGCGTCCACACGCGGGACACTGACACGAATAAACGTTCTTTTATTATTTATTTAATGTGGAAGAACCATTTTCGAATATGGTGAGCCTTCATTATTTCGTGCTTCAGAATGTACGCCGACCCGTTGGCCTCAACTACATATGCAATTGATAACTTTCAATCCACCTGGGCCGCGCGTTACGGTTTATTCTCGGTTCTCCTTACTTGGTGATATCCCTAGGCGAGGCCTACGAGCTAACTGTGGAGATGGCATAGTATACTGACTGGTGTCGTAGTGCCAGAGGTCGGCGCACTCCCGCAGGTCGCACTGGCCGCCGTGCACGTACAGGCGGTTGTCGTACAGCGCGGCCGCGTGCCGGTGCCGCGCCGGGCCTGCGTTGGCGGTCCGCACCTGGTGCCACGTCTCCGTCTCTGTGTGACACAGACTAATGTTCATTCTAGCCGAACAAAATCAGATATCGACATTCAGTAAAACACAGTAGCTTTAATCAGGGCTAAGAATTTTGAGCCTGTTTAATGCAAATACACAAACAATCAAATCAATCCTCTTTATAATAGTAGTATATGTGAGCAACTACTAACCGTAGTGAAATGCCCACAGTTCATTAGTAGATCCCCTCAAGTCCATATAGCCGCCATACACTAGGAGGCAGTCCTTGAGCGCGTGAGCTGAATGTCCGCGCCGCCCCTTCGGTCCACCCGCAGCGCGCTGCTCCTTGGCCGCGCGCCGCCTCAACGTCGCCGAGTAGCCGCCTGCTCTATTCTGTCCGGGCAGCTTTCGCCAGAGTTGAGTCTACAGATAATATGTATGAAGTTGAGATAATTGTTGAATCTTCTATTTGAAACGTCAAAGGAGTGGTTAGGCCGGCACGGACTCACGTCCGGTGCTACTGGGAACGGTGACACATCTCGGGATGTTAGATTTAAACTTTATTTCGTAACTAAATAGTTGAATCTTAATTACCGCAGATAGTATAAATTTTAATCGCTATCATCTCTATTAAGATTTCATTCCTCCCAAATCTCGTAATAGTTTGCAATGTATTTATTGCAGGAAAAAACATGTCGAGGAAGACTATCTATGCGAAGTCGGGTAGACTCATACCATAAAGGGAAGAAAACTAAAAAAAAAATATTCCTCGTTTAAACACTTTGGAGCCTTTTTTAAAGGTCATCCACATTAATGTGAATATGGTTAATTTTCGAATGTATTTTACAAAGCTTCTTAATATCAATCGCTTCTATTCCCTGAAAACATAACTATAATTTAGGTCGGTTCTCAGTTTCTATTTGCGTGATCCGACGACGGTAAACTATATGCAAACGTAAGCGTAAGATCCTTGTTAACACGCGATGAAACTTTATTGTGAAACAAAGGCTTTATACTTAAACGAGCTTATGTCAAATTCTGTATCTATAACTACTTTTACATATACAAACTCTAGTTTCATGGCTTCTAACGTCAAATTATTGTAACCAAGCGTATATCTTTAATTCGACATTAGCTTTCAAGTCAACTTCCATTTCATCATTAGGAATGTACGTACAGCCCTCCGCAAATTCTAAATGAACTATTCAGTGTACCCGACTCCTGCTTCAAATATAAACATTGGTATTCTGAATATTCGGAAATTAGCGAATATTATTTCAGAGTCATCGTCTGAAATATGTGGATTATATATTTAGATACAATGTAGAGGTATATCGACCTCCGTGTCGTATATCCAGAGAGGGGTCTCGTTGGACAGCGCTCCCGGCTCGCCGCCGAACACGTACAGGCGCGCGCCGTGCGCTGTGGCGCTGTGCTCCTGCAGCGCGGGCGGCGGGTCGCCCTTACACTGCAGCCTCTCCCACTCCCCCGTCGCTACAATATCAATACATAGATATTCCGTGTATTAGACTTCTACCGCTACATGACAAGTTGTTAAGTTGTTGCAGAATTATTCAACTAAAGTATGTATGCACAAACGCATCGAAGTGTGAAGCAGGAGCTTAAATTGTATAGCGTTCAGTGTTGCTCGCGTATGTAAAACTTACGAATTATAATTTGTTTGTTAAACGGATTCCGGTGCTAGTTGTTGAAACTCTTCATATTTATTAATTGCAATTTTAAATAAATTCTTAGTAAAATTCCTTAACAATTGACTGGTTGGTCAACCCGAATTGGAAACCTATTTTAAAATTATAGCGAAATTGCAAGTTAAGAGTGAATGTTTAACATAAGTTGAAAATATAATTTAGTATCTAAGTAATAAATGACATATTCATACACATATTTATTGACATAAGCTGCCAAAAATATAACTGCAAGTCCACAACTGAAGAACAAACTTGATACACAAACGTGATGTCTGTCAACCGATGACGGGCCCTCGACTCGAGTTCTAGTATCCGACCTAGTTGACACGTATTTAGCGAACCTCAAACACATAAACTGCTGACGTCACTACATTTCCCGACCTCTCCTGTAAGACAATGCTCTTAGTTTGTGTTTATAGATACCTATGTAGATATTTAAACTTTTAAATGGTACTTTTTCCACTAATGTGCTCTGGGCACACGGGGTGTGTTATGGCCCGTTATCGAACGCCTGGGAACGGTGAGGATGACCTCTGCTCGCAGGCGTTCTTATATGATGGTGAGTTCCCGTGCGGTTTGTCGACTGACCGATGCAGTACCGCCAGAAGTCCCGCAGCGGCACCGCCCCGCCCGCGCCCCGCCCGCCCAGCACGTACACGTGCCCGCCCAGCAGCGTGGCCGAGTGCTTGCCGCGGGAGCACGGCGCCACCGCACCGTTCCCGCCGTACTCCACCGGACTCCACATCTCAACTGCAACAACCACCGACACTGCACTTTAACTATTACCTTCATAGCTACAATGATCGACTACTAGTTACTGTTCTGTTTGTCTATAAAATCCATCGCTTTACCTTTATGTTCGAACTGGTAAAGTGATAAAATTTTATATTCTATATGAATAGTTTATCATCAAATATTCTTTACTTAGATCAACCTGCGGATATATGACTCCTGGCTCAAACAAAATAAAGCTTATGTATTTTTTAATGTAAAAATATACTAAATGAGTCGTTGCATACTGAGATACTCTAAAGCTGAATACAACGAAACTCTCTAAGAGCTGAATACAACGAAACTCATTATTGCACAACACAAGCCAGAAATTAAGAAAAGAAAAAACAAACAGACATAAAACAATTATTGTATAATAGGCGGTATTATCGCATATCATTGATGTCTTCCAGAAGAATATGAAATATGCATATACAATTATGAAATGTTATCAAACTCGATAATCAAAGCTACACAAATACGAGTATATTGGAGCTGTATATTCGCCCTGCAATCTTTGGTCAAAAAATATAAGATATTCGATCTAGAAAAACTTTGTTGTTGGATATACATATCTATATCAAGGAATTTTACAAGAAAGCAATGCACTTCCCACCCCAGGAATCAACGCCGCTCCATATGCGCACCAAATGAAATGGGTCGGGCTCCCTCAGGGCTCTTCGCTCGGCCCCCTGCTTTTCCTAAGTATTACTTATTGAGAATTTGCGACCCTCGCTGCAACGAGGGGCTGTTTGGGCAACTGATCGCTTACAACATGTAAATATTGGTTAAACTAAAGCCGGATGTGCAGACAGATGTAATGCATTTGGCACTGTCATCCAATATCCGGCTATTTGGATTGACTGTTCTATGTAATTAAGAAGATTTTTACTTTGTGTTTGATTCACCTAACTATATTATTAGTGATATGAAGGACTGCTTATGCTACGTTTTTATAAGTACAGCTACAGCATATCTCAAAATGGAGCACCATGGAACCCTAGGGCTCTGCAAAGCATATATTGGTGGTCCATAGTCATACTAAATATTGGTCATACTTTGAAAAATTCGCGAATTTATGAAATATTTTTTATAATTATAATTAGTAATCGGGACACATTGACGGGTAAAAACGTGTTTCCTTAAAAGTTTCATCGCCAAAAAATGTTGATTACTCTATTTTTAATAATAAAAATATAATTTGCTAGAAACTTCCTTAATTCAAAATAAATAATAATTTAGGTAGTCCAAATCGGGCCATCTCCTAAAATAAAATACACCATTATTGAATAGCTAACTTCTTGTTAATAAGGGTCGGACAAATCGTATTTGAACATTACGTAAGTTTCCAAAGGAAACTATTGGCCGGGATCCTGGCTGTCTGCCAAATATCAAAGAAGGCTTTTACCTAACAATAATATAATAAAAAGCTTTATAACTATCTGTAGACTGTTAACAAGCATTTCTAACATATCCAGCAGCGAAAATAAAGTAACAATCGGCCCGCGACCTCCGAGGATTCATAAGGATGTTGTATAGTTGGTTAGAGTCGATATTAAGTTATGGATTCCACGACAGGTTTTTTGTTAAAAGGTTAAAAATGTATAATAATTAAAAATGCATGAAGTAAGCTTTATTTTAACTACAATAAAGCTAACAGAAAGAATGAACAACTTAGTGTTCTTATGGGGGTTTCCTATTTAATTTTAAACTGCGGAATCCTAAAATCGTAACATAAAGGAATAAAAAATGACATGAACTCTGTCAGACTAGACGAGCAAACGACCTCATTCACGGATTTGTTCAAAGCGCTGACCCGGAAAGGCGGAAGATGTTTTTAATTGGTATTCTCTTTTATTCGCGCGCAGTTTTGAAGATATTACATTATTTTATGTATGAATTGAAGCTAAAAGCCTTACTCATAGGTAGAGTCATAGCGTCAATAATAAGTTACGTTTGTATTACGGTTGAGAGTCTTTCACGAAAAACTACTAAATAAAGTTGAATGAAATTTGGTATACGATAAATCATAATTTATATAAAGGTACTCTTTAGCCGACTTAACGTTTATCCCTAGGGATAAATCTAGATACTCTCAAGTGATCGTGTAAGCCACGCGGGCATAGCCGCTGGCGGAAAGCTACTTTGATAAATAAAACAGTGTTGATCGAGATCGCAGCGAGGTGAGGCGAGGACGCAGACAGGTGCAGATCGGAGGGTGCCGGCTGCCAGCAAATTGGATTCTGTTCACAGACGTGTCTCTCCTTGTACCGAGGGTTTGCGTTAACATATCCAGGGGGAGTGATCTGAATATTTTATAGGCAATATTAACGTTTAAAATGTCGCATAATTTTATTTTATTTTTTTACTTTTACAAACACATACATTTCAACGAAACAAGAGCCCTTGAGCCGGGCTTTTTTATTATTATAGTCATAATTAGTTAATTAGTATTGGCTTATATTTTATGTCTAGGTACTTACTACTTATACAACATAAATATAAAGAAAGTGTTTTTGTTAAATCATTTACCTACAGTTAGTAAGGTGTGTACTATCGACACCGTCCTCTTTGCTTGCTTTTCCACCTTGATTTTATTTCTTGGTTCTATGATAACAGAACGGACCCCTGCGTTATTGCATTGTAAAAAAAGTTTATTGATTTAATGTCCACCACAGTTCCGACCGCTGTATTTCAAATATTTTGAATCATTTACCCTAGCGCTGAGCGGTGACAGGTGACCGACTACCATACAACCGAAAGTGACCTTTAATCATGTACAAATAAGGCATGCACGGGACGGTCTAGATTTAATCGCGTTATTTTGCTAAAACAGTGCCTACCCCGCGCCCTAGTAGCGTTCGAAACGAGCCTCTGTATTTATGTTATTTAAAGTTTATTTTGTAATGGTCGGAGCCCTCCCCTAGTGTGGTGTAGGGTGAACGACCCCCGGCCCTCCCGAGTGTGTTGCACAACAGTGGCCGCCGTGTCTGTCTGTCACGTCGACAAGTCAACCAGGAACACTTCTTAACATTCACTTAAATATTTATTTATTAGTTAGGTAACATTTATGGGACCTCGTCAGTAATCAAGAGTGATTCGACAAGACACTGGCTTCCAGATAGATATTGACCTTGACAGGGAAGGGTACATAATGCGCTCGCACAAGTCGTAAAGGTGGATTGATATCTCGTTTTCACTTATCAAGTACATCTGGCCTGCGATACTTTAAAAATCCAGACCTGAATCCGAATACACTCATGTGTCCCAAATCACGTCATTTGGTGACGAAATTCTATTTATTCAATTTTTTTTCGTATAAAAATACTAAACAAAATTGCTTGAATATATGTGTCTCTGATATTCTATTCCCATGTCATTTCGAAACTCAATTCACTTATGCCACAAAATGTTATTACCAATTCAAGGTAATAAAATTACGTGGCATAAGTGAATGCCGCTGTTTGTACTGAATCCGGACCAAGTGAATTCAAATTCGGGTTTGGATCTCTACGGAGTCGCAGCGCTGATCTGAATGTTCAGTGACAAACATTTTGTACGAAGCGATAACCGGTTAAAAAACAATCTGACAAATGGGAATCCGTTCTGCGGAAATTAAGCGATTGACGAGCAAACTACCAATATTTGACAAGTGCCTACCTATTTGTTAAAAATCTAAAGTTCTGTACATTTTACAGACGATCGTTGGTACTAGTACCTATATCCGAATCAAAATACTTTGCTCAAGTATGATTTTACACAGACAACCATTTATAATTATCTTCTTAGTTTTCATGTGACTTTCCACTGCTGGAGGTCAGCGGTTTTGCCGCACTCTTGTACCGAGCGAAAAAGTTTTCCGTCGCTGGTGATCGTAGTCCACAATCGAAAGGCCAATGATTTCTGATTATTTTCCCGTCAAGATTTGCTGAAGAAGCTGTATATATCTTTACTTGGTCGAGGTATGCATTTGCTTTATCTTGTTGGTTCGAGTTAACTTTCAGTCCTCCAGTTTGTATAGGTACGTATCATATTTATTTTCTTTGGAATCGTTGATAAGTATTAGATGTCCTGACAAAATTACTGTTTAATAATTTATTAAACTTAGTAGAATTAATCAAAGGATATGACGTAGCAGTGAATATTATTGTTAAATTACCAAGTATATACCGAAAATAAAAACAAATCATAATGCAAACTGGATTAATATTCATCATTAGTTAAAATTCAGCCACTGAATAAAACAGTGGGTCTCCGAACAGGGTCCTCCAAATCGATAGGAGTAATCCGTGCCTGACTTAAAAATAAATGTCCAGGGAAAGGGACAGCTTATACAAATGTAAAAAAGTATATCACAAGGTTTTACCTTTATTATCTGAGTAATGAGTAATGTACACACGGGGTGTACGTTTATACTATCTATACTAAAATTATAAAGAGGAAAAATTTGATTGGTTGTTTGTTTGCATGGAATAGGCACCGAAATTAGTAGACCGATGTTATAATTATTTCACCTACGTTACGTATCGTACGGGGTTGACATAGGCTATAATAGACGCGTGCGAAGTCGCGGGAAAACAGCTAGTTGATATAGTTTAACGAAAATTTTAGTATGTCAACTTCTTAGTTACTGCATATTATTGTTTTTAAAAGAGTTCTCCGCCGCACTTTGTGATTTAGATAGAGTTATCAAATATTGGGTCTGTAATAGTTTCAAATAAATTTAATAAGCAAAATGGTAGGTTATTTGAAGTAAATTACACAGCTTTATGTTTATATATATTTTCATTTAAATCTTTCATTAATGAATAGCATGCTTCGTCTTCATCTTAGGTATTCATCGGTAAAGTTGAACGAGGTTCTGAAGACAACAATAGTTACTAAAATATATATTTGTATTTTTCATGTTTCATTATTACTCAGTTTTAGCTTCCGAAACTTCTTCTTGTTTTCATTGCGGAATATTTTATGCGGAACTAAATCTTTTCGATAATTTATCGCTATGTGGGCCCCACTGACGTTTAGTATCTAGTGTAATACCCATATTTCTATTATTTATGCTCACATAAAATAAAATTATTTGAAATGTTGTACGTACACTGCTTTAAATAAATAATTGTTCTGGTTTATTTTTTTTGGCATGAAGTTTATTCTTCATCCTTGTCTTGTCTTTCATTATGATTCTAATAATAATAGTATTTTTTAATTCACTTATGAAATAAAGTCTGTTATTTAGTTAGAATATTTTTTAAGTCACCTCTTTTCCATTTGGACGGTGAATTGCCACAGCTCGCTAGATTTCCATTAATTTTGGAAGT